GTTTGTAATTATTGTTCTCTGTGATTTACGCAGCTGTCGGTACAGATATGCCGTCTTTCTGGAGACAAAGAGCTGACAGTCTTGCACCTGGACATCGAGGGACTTGGTACAGAACTTAATTTACGAACATTTGATATGACATCCAACACTTTTCTGAGAGAGATCTGCTTGAAATGTCCAGAATATATGGGTAGGTGAACAAAAGAGAATTGGTTTTCTTTTAATTCTCTGTTGTCAGAACACAGAGGTGGATGTACTGTAGAGTAACCTGTGCCACTCATCACTGTTATTGACAGCATTGTATATAATGCTCAGCTTGGGGCAGAGCTCTGATCATACTTTCCTGAAAGATTTTACTAAGAAGATTGTGATCTTTATGAAAATCTTACTTCTCTAAAAAATGAAGGTCAGAGGCACAAATTTGCCTGGTGTGTCCCTAGATGGAGAGAATTAGATCAATTACAAATGCCGGATAAGTGTTATTTGTGAAATTAACATATATGTTAAGGAGTGGCTTGGTGCTTAGATGTGATGCCACACTGCTCTAAGATGCCGAGTTCAATTCTGGCTTTGAGTTTCTTTCGATATGGAATTTTCATAATCTTTCCAGTAGTTTCCATAATTTTTCCAGTGGCATTTCTACAGGTACTCTTGTTTCCTCAAAGTCTTCAAAACCCAGATAAGTTACTTTCAGTTGTCCCTCACAGGGTTCCATCCCTGGTGTCCAAGGGGAAGGGTGGTGAGCACCCTGCCCCATGAGGCTTTATGAGATGTGGCTCTGGTCATGATCAGGATGCTAGGGTTTGGGATACGTTTCCTTTAGAAAATTCCACACTTTGTGTTTTGAACACAATATCACGCTGGCGATTCTAAATGAAGATCCCACCTGACTCTTTCATAAATGCTATCGGGGTGTACCCACTACTTACAATATACAGGTTTTGGGAGTCTACGATAGCGAGCCTTTGAGTGTACGTATGTGATGAATAAGATTGATGCTAAGATGATGAATTCATTTTTGCATTTTTTATAGATACTGAAGATAAACCAGTTCACATTATCACAACTCTAGACAATACAGAGGACGATCTTCTCACCTTAGAGTATACTAAGGTATCCATCAAAAGTTATGTTGGAAGCATTAATAAGGCTTTTGATCAATGTCAATTTTATACTTACTGTATGGTACAGATAACTGCAAAGTATTGGAAAGTTTTTATCTGTAGGTACTAAACTGCCAAATACTGTAAGCATTTTGAAAATGAGATATTGAAAATTAGCAGTTTAGTTGTAATCCTAGAACTGTCCTAATCAAGCTATTATGTTTTATTCCTAGCATAAAAACTAAATGTGCTGGTTTCCTGTCAGCATCATCTAATACAGTATCACTAAAAACAAGATAATATTGCAAAACTGTCTAGTTCAAGTGTCTTTGATCACATATTAGGAATAAAGTTAAACTGATTATTTTAAAGTTTATAAGACTTTTTATCTAAATTTATTTTGATTCAGTACATGTTATGTTTTTCCAGTTTTATAGCAGGCTTTTCTGTTTCACTAAAAATGACATTTATGTTCTCTTTTTGCAGGCAGATAAGAATGGGCCAGAATTCAGAACTGCTTATAAAAATACAGAGCAGCTTATAAAGGTAATTCTACATAATTTATTGCACTTGTTTCAAATTTCCATTACCTGATAAACTGGGCAATAGCTCTACATCAGATTAGTTTTAGGTATTCATTTATTGCTGTTATCTAAATCTTAAAATCTTTCATAATACTTTTTATTCAGAATGAATACTGCTGTATTCTGCTGTATTTGTGAAACTACTACAAGGTGGTGGCTAGCTTTGGAACACAAAGGCATTTTTTCTTTTCAAATTAACCCCTCTGGACTGTAAATTAAGTGGAACAACTTTACAAGCTTCTTTATACAGTGTATTTTTAATACTAAGTTTAATATTAAATATAGTGTGTTTGACAAATATTTTTCCTTCCGATTTTTTAAGGTGAACTTTTCATCATTAGATGTGCATTTGCACATTGAAGCTCTGTTGAATAGCATTAACTTCTTGAACAACCTCCTACCAGTGTCAGAGAAGAAAGACACAATAGAAGAACCAGCCCTTGCTGCAGGAGAGGAGAAGAAAGAAGAGTCTAGTCTAGCCAAAAAACTGAGTATGAGCAATCACTGATTATATTGCCTGTATTGGGACAATGTAAAATGACATACTGTAGTTAGAAGGTAGAACATTCTGATTTTGTAGGTGTTGTTCAATTAATCTATATAAATAATAGGCAGGAAAAATGATATCTCCTTCACTAGTCTGCAGTGCAAGATTTCTGCTGAATACAGTCTTTCTGTTTCAGTCTTTTC